TGAACAGGTAGAGTGCAATACCTACAAGAGCGATGCAAGCTATATTTTGGATATTTTTTCTTGGATATTTTCTTTAATAAATAAAATAAGTGGTCTTTGATTATATTAAATCTAAATAACGCCACATTCGAACGATCATAACTAGGTGGAGCCGGGGTGGTCCGCTAATAATGTAAAATACCGGTCGTTTTATAAATATCATGTTACAAATTACATAAAACTAAAAAATCATCTCAGTAACTCTCTTGTAAAAACACAATCTATATTCGATGGTTTTTATAGGTATGAATGAAGCAATTTCATTCGTCTGGGCGGCATTATCTAATAAAATTGGACGCCATTATGACATCTTCGTTGTCATAAAACCATTATAAATGAAATCTGGCCTATGATATGTTATTTACTGTAATGTAACAAAATTAACATTTATTATAAACTATTCCGTGAATAGATAGATAGTGATGCAAGAAACGCGTAAAGATTGCATGCACCTAAAAGATCAAAAGCCAATGAGGAGCACGTAACTACGAGTAAACGAAAACATTGTTTTTTAAAAATATAATAGTGCAGTCAAATAAGTTCTGAAATCAAAATTTTGACACTCAACTTTGTATTTTTGATATAATGTAGTTTTTAATGATACAAAAATGTGTAAAGGTTTTCGTGTCTGCAACCCCCGGCAAGGGTTGAAAAAAATTATCAAAATTACTAGAAAACTGTATAAATTAAACAAACAATTCTGGTTAAAATATGTAGAGCTTAAGATTTTACATAAAAAAGTATTTATGATTTTTTTCCTCCGGTCAAAATTAAGAGAGAAAACCTTCCTAGGTTTTAAGTTTAAAAAGGATAAAAGAAAATAAAAAAAAAACCGTAGGTAGAAGGAAAAATAGGCGATTTTTTTTTATTGCTTAATAATCTAATCTTTAACTTTAGAGATACAGAATATGCTGCTTTAGAGCTATACAATATAAAATTTTAAACTGAAATTTAATGCTTAAAAATTAATAAATTATTTATTTTTGGCCGCAATATTTCCTAAATTTTACGGTTAAAAAAATTACTTTGCATTTTTTGGCAGGTGTGAATTTATACAGGTATAAAGTTGTTATATTATTTGTTATGTATCAATATCCGGACTCCATCTTGGGTCGAGCACTAGTCTTTCAACCTAAAGTCAGCACTTCCAGCTACCTTACCTGCATGGAGGGGGCACCCCACCACTGTTTTTGCTATGTTATTTAAGCAATGATGAGCACCAGGTGTCGTAATTATAGCGTTATTTTTCGCGCCGTTCACAAGTCAGCCTTTTGTAAGCACGAAAAAAATTCAATTTTACTAAAATTAAGTAGCGCTACCCTACTGAAAAGGTTATGGAGGAACAAAGTGTCGACGAGGTTACATTATGAAATTCTCAAAAACATCGAGTTCAAATAGCAGTGATTCGTCAAATAACAGTGTTTACAGTCAAACAAGGAGACACAAGAAAGGAAAAATGGATCAAACCGTGAGATGAACAATGAGCATTTCGAATTTGTATCGCATAAAGTGGCCTTTTTAACTAATATTATTACAAAATCTAATGAAGTTATATACCGTAACCAAAAAAAAGTTCCTTCACTTAATCTTAACTTGCACCGATCTACAACAGAAGGCGGGGACAAAATAAACCAGCTCAAGCTATCAGATTTTAGTACCACGGTAAAAGATCCTATTTATCCACGTGCAAATGAAATACATTTAAAGAAATTAGTAGAATTACAGCGTTTTAATTGTGATGATTGGTATGCTGTACAGTTTATCGATGCCCAGAAGAAATATTCATCTACCCCCGGTTTTGTCGAACTTGCTGTAAATGATTCGTTAAAACTATTTGAATCTGCAATGTTGCGCGGTGATCCTTGTTCTTATTTGCTAGAACGTTCCTTCGCCGGATTAACGAAAGCCTTATTTTGTCAAAAAGAGGAATTACAAAGAGCACTACAAGCACTAGTAGATTAGGGCAGTGATTCTCAACATACATTGACTCCAAATTCATTATTTGATAAAATAGAGGCGTTATTTACTAAGGAATCACCATATAGCAATGTCACTGAATATTTGTTTCAAATAGTTTGTAGTAGACGAGCAGATCTTATTATCTTACGTTGAGGTTCGTTACTGCTAAACTCTTAAAGAATACTATCGCGAGGTTTTGCAAAAAAATCCCTCCTAACTCACTTTTGCCACTTACGTAACCCGGAGAGATCGGCTTCACTGTCTAACACTGCAATACTTCAGTCGACAGTTGTCAAAGGACCACCGTTACCACCAAGTGAGTATTCCACTATTAGTTCAATCTGAGATGAAATGGTGGCTACAAGCTGTAGGTCAATCTATACCGATACACATGAATGCAGTAGTAACTCACCTTCTAACAACCGATGCTTCAGACATCGGCTGGAGCACTCAACTCTGCGATATAAGTATCTAAGGGACCTGGATGAAAGGACAACTAACCTGGCACGCAAACAAAAGAAATGTTCGCAGTTTATACAGCGATATCATACGAACAAAAACTGCTACAAAACTCACAAGTGCTCCTTCAGACAGACAATCGAACAGTGGTGTCTTACATAAACTAGGAAGGTGGAAGTAAGTCGAAAAAGCTTCTCAAGCAAACTCGACAACTGCTTGCACTTCTAGACAAACTCAATATACACATACAGGCCCAGTACTTTCCAGGCAGATTCAATGTCGAAATGGACGCCTTATCACGCCTAAAGGCTTGCCCCACATATAGCTATATTATTACTTTTTGCTTATAGTCGGAGAGTTCATGACCTCATTTTGTTACATATTGACAATAACAGTTTACTAGATGAACAAAGTAGCATAATCTTATGGCCAGCTTTTGGTTCCAAAACGGACAGCATTAATCATAGACAGTCTCTTTGAAGGCCTAAAGAACATCCTGACAAAAATTTGAATATTATTTTCTGGATAAAACAATTATTAAAGATATCTAAAAATCGCAGAAAGGCTATAAATTATTTATTTATTACAGCTAGAGGTGACGCTAATCCAGCATCCCGTTCTGTAATTGCTGAGTGGGTAAAATCACTTTTAAGAGAGGCGGGTATTGAATCTACTCCTGGTTCAGTAAGATCACCAGTATCTTCCTTAAATTAGTTGGAAAATGTTTCCCTAGATAAAATCCTTGCGATTGGAAAACTGTACATACATTTCCAGTTTACTATAAAAAAGAACTAAAGGAAATTGAGATAAATAATTCTGCACCTTTATCAAATTATTTTCTTGCCATTAATTGATTGTGATTTAATTGATTGATAGAGCAAATATTATATTAGTTGAAATTTCCCCATTTTTTTATAAAACAATCTATCAAAACATAATATACAATACTTTATTATATACAATATTAAAAACTATAATAATAATAAAAAAAATTAAAACTGGAAACTTATTTATCATATTGTCCTACTCCCCGCGGTATCGTGCCAAGAACGCTGGCTGCGTTTCCCCGCTGAATGGCTATGCTTAGCCTTTGAGCGAGAAAATAACCAGCCCTCTTATCACCAGCAGCAACGACCAGCCGCGGATGGAGTTCCTTTAGGAACTTCGCCGCACGTGGACCCCACGGACTGATAGTCTAGTTTTAGTTTGATTTATTATTGTAATTAAGAAAAGCAAAAATTATTTCCATTATGGCCAGTTATAATCAAATAATGTAAGTGTGGCATAATATATAATTTATGTTGCTGTGTATCTCTTGCAATCATTCTTTTATTGTTTACCTTACACATTACAGCGTTAATAAAGGTGATAACAAACAAGTCACTCAAGATGCATTCCGGATATTGATACATAACAAATAATAGAGAGTTTTACCATAAAGTAAAATTTACCTATCATTTTTAATCAATATCCGGAATCTTTAGGTAAGGGCTACCTGGTGCATCATGAGTGCCATAATCACGAGACCTGGTGCTAATCACTGCTTAAATAACAAAGCATAAACAGTGGTGGGGTGCCCCTTCCGAACAGGTAAGGTAGCCGGAAGTGCTGACTTTAGGCGGAAATACTAGTGCTTGACCCAAGATGGATTCCAGATATTGATTAAAAAATAGTAGGTAAGTTTAAAGTTATTGTAAAACTGTATTTTTTAACAATAAAAGAAATCTGTATTCCTAAAATATTCGAAAAGCACTATTGACAATTTCTTTCAACCGTCGCTGGGGGTGCAGCCACGAAAAACTTTAGACATTGTTTTTGTATCATTATAACTACATTATATCAAAAATGCAAAGTTGTGTGCCAAAATTTTGATTTCAGACCTTATTTCGCTGGACTAAATAAGCAAACAATTTGGTTAAATAAACGTACAAACCCTCTCGGACAAAATTTTTAGGTCATAGTACAAACAAAAACCACAGAAATCTAACAAAAATCTAATGGCCTTATTCATAAAAACATAATACAAAGTTATAAAAAATTATTTTAAAGTGTTTATAATTTAATAATACTTATAACGTATCAGTGATATAGATTCATATGTACCTGTAGTTGTAAGATAAAAATATTTTCATACAAATAAGCAAATTTTATTTATTTAATTAATTACGTATACAAACATAAATTGGATGAAATAGGACATTAAGAGACATTTTAATATACTGCTTTGTTCTGGGTTTAAAACATTCACATTAACATTAACAATACATTCGCAACGAATTATTATAGATAAAGAAACTTATCTTTAATTTATACTCAGAATAGAATCCGTGCGTGAATCCTTCGAATATTTGCCGATTTCAAAATATAAATGTATTACTGTCATAAAATATAAACAGCAATATTAATTTGTTCTAAAATACGGAAATATTATTTCATGAATTATTATAATTTGAATACATTTAAGATTTGCTGCATTACACTAGAATATTATGAGTAAAACAGAATTTTCACTGAATAGGTGTATTAAATTCTTACTTTCTTTTTTATTTTCCGTGTTTAGGCGAGATACCGTGTTCTGAGTTGGGCGAGCTTCCGCCTGATGTACTCTGTGGACTCCTTTCGTTTACCTTCATAATAAAGCGTTCATAATTTTTTAAGTGTTCCGACAGACAATAAGCTACAAAAACGTAGGAATTTGCACAATCATGTGGATTTTTCTATTACCGATAATTACAAACAGCAAAGATAATAGTACATATTATTTTTATGATAATATTACATGTTTGTTAACTTACGATGAATAAAAACTAGAAGATTTAATAAAGGCACTTATCAATATGTCCACTTTTACTGATTTCATTTCAAAATTAATTAAATTTAATTAAATTTATATAAATTAAAATAAATTAATCATTTATAAAAATGTATAAAAATATAATTTAATTAAACAAAATATTCGTGAAGTGAAATATATTTCCTATTTTATATTATATGTATATTTTAATCTATTATAGCCACAGACTTAAATTTAATATTTGTATGCCTCTATGTAAGCGGTGAAACATGTTTGGCCTCAAGTATATGTAATTAACACCTGTATTTACCATGTTTGATGCAAATAAAAGTTTTGAATCTTTGAATCTATTCTATACACATAAATACAATTTGAAGTTATTTCGTAACCGCAGAGACACCTCTGCCATATTGAAATAACTAGCTTCAATAAGCTCAGGGGGGTTTTGCATGATATTATGATAAAGTTATCATTAAAATAAATTGTCTGTCTCTTTTTCTAATCTTTGAAATGGCTGCATCAATTGTAATGAAACTTCGCAAGCGGATAGAGAGAGATATCATGAGTAATTTATGCTATATTTTATCCGAAAACTTGGAGATATTTTTCTGCCGACTTCAAAAAGGAGACGGTACTCAATTCGACTGTATGTTTTTTTGTGTGTTACCTCATAACTTTGTACTATTCTTTTTTTTAAAGTTGGTGCTTCACATGTGGTCCCATATAAATTTGATCAAAGTCTGATCAATAGTTATTGAGTTGTTCTTAATAATTTATATTGAAGTCGGTTGTACAAAATTTTTAATTTTTAATTATTTACATAACGATCTCTTAAATCTAGCCACATTAGTAGATCCTACCCATGCGAAGCTGGGGCGAGTCGTTAGTATATAATATAGTTATTAAATAAAACAATAACAAATAATAAGATGCTGAAATTAGCCGGGATGATATTAACTCTTAAAGGAATATCATGTGTAAAATCTAAAAACATATTTTTCGTAATTTAATCTGGAAATATTAATATAATCTGCCGTGTAGTGGCGGTTAAGAATATCCACTACCCTATATCATCCCGTGGGTGTCGTAAAGGCGACAAAGGGAAACAGGCTGGAGATGGGCAGCAGAATCTTCCTGATAACAGCAAACATACAATAAAAAACTGCGGTTGCCAACCCGCTCGCCAAGCATGGCAACTATTGCAAATACCCCCCTATGAATGTAACAAAGAGACGGCCCCCAGTCCCCGGCGGCCCTGCTATTCCTGGCTACGGTGACAACCATGGTAACAGCGGGGCAGGGGGTGCTAAGAATCTCCGGTGGAGGTTCGGTTGCCACCTAAGGCGACTCGACCTGGCAACATACAACGCAAGCACCCAGAGGACTGACGAGAAGATTGTGGAGCTGGAAGAAGAGATAGACAAATTACGCTGGAATATTATAGGATTATCCGAAGTCCGAAGAGAGGGGGAGGACACGGTAATCCTCGAATCCGGCAACTTGCTCTATCACCGGGAGGGCGACCATCTGTTCCAAGGAGGTGTCGGATTTATCGTCCACAAGTCTCTCGTTTATAACGTTGTAATGATTGAGAGTGTGTCGACGAGGGTTGCGTACCTTATACTCAGAATCACCAAACGGTATTCGCCGAAGGTTATACAGGTTTACGCACCAACCTCGGCACACCTCAATGAGGAGGTGGACGAAATGTATGAGGATATCTCTAGAGCCATGCATTCCTCCAAAACTCAATATACGGTGTTAATTGGAGATTTCAATGCAAAACTAGGCACAAGAGAGAACGGTGAGATGAAAGTAGGAAAATTTGGAATAGGGCAACGGAACCCATGGGGCCAGCAGCTGGCCAACTTCATGGAGAATGAGGGACTCTTTATGATGAGCTCTTTCTTCCAGAAGCAGCCCCACAGGAAGTTGACCTGGTCGAGCCCCGACGGTTCGTCAAAAAATGAGATTAACTTCATTATGACGACTGGTAGTGATCATCGAATGGTCAGAGGTACACTGAACCTAAACGTTAAGTTGGAAAGGTCTCGTCTAATGAAGTCAACGCTCCGTCCCCCTCCTACTCTGTTTCAAAGTCCCGAAACCTTTCAGCTCGAGTTAAAAAACCGTTTTCAGTACCTAGAAGACTGCAATGAAGTGGAAGATATGAATGACAAGCTCGTGGAAACTGTCCATGCGGTCGGAGCTAAGTTCTGCAAGACCCGCCGCAGAAGGACACAAAAACTCTCCGATCACACTTTTAATCTCATGGCTGTTAGACGGAAGATGAAGCTACATTCTTCAACATATTTAGCAGCATACAGGCAACTGAACAGACAGATCTCCAAATGCAAGCGGCGCGACTTACGCAAGTTCAATTCAGATTGTATTAAAGAAGCGATCGAGCGGAACCAAGGCTCCAAAGTATTTGCCAGAAATCTGTCTACCAGAAAGAGCCAACTGTCGAAGCTAAAGACCGAGTGTGGCAGCATCGTTTCCGGGACACCTGAGATTTTGAGTGAGATTGAGAGGTTCTATGGGCAGCTGTACACGTCATCGTTGGAGCCACACGCAAGTGTGAGTAACGAACCAAGAGCAAGTCTTATCCGACACTATTCCGATGATATCCCGGACGTCAGTCTGAGCGAGATTAGAATGGCTCTCCAGCACCTTAAAAACGGCAACGCCCCAGGCGAGGATGGAATTACAGCGGAGCTTCTGAAAGCGGGTGCAAAACCGGTACTTGAAGTCTTTCAGAAACTATTTAATTTCGTCCTCCATGGTGGCATTACACTGGAAGCGTGGAGCAGAAGTGCGGTGATCTTGTTCTTCACGAAAGGTGACAATTCTCTCTTGAAGAACTACAGACCGATTTCCCTTCTGAGCCGCGTTTACGTGCTGTTTTCGAGAGTCATTACGAATCGTCTCGCGCGCAGACTTGACGATTTCCAGCCTCCCGAACAAGCCGGTTCTCGAAAGGACTTTATCACCATAGACCACATACTTCTGCAAGTTGTACAGAAGTCAGAGGAGTACAATTTGCCACTATGTCTGGCGTATGTGGACTATGAGAAAACCTTTGATTCCGTCGAAATTTGGGCGGTGCTGCAGTCCCTTCAGCGGTGCCAAGTTGACTGTCGGTATATCGAAGTGCTGATGTGCTTGTACAGTAGGGCTATGATGGCTATCCGAGTAAAGAACCAGAGTACAAAACCTATCCAATTGCACAGAAGTGTAAGACAGGGTGACGTTATATCCCCGAAACTCTTCACCGCTGCATTGGAAGAATTTTTCAAGCTTCTGGTCTGGATCAATGGCGAGTACATCGCTCACCTTCCAATTGCCGACGATATAGTCCTTATGGCAAAAACGCTGGAGGAACTAAGCACCATGCTCAATGACCTCAAAAGTTTCTCCCAACGGATAGGTCTTAAGATGGACATGGACGTGACATGGACATTAAACATGATCTTTGTTTACAGGGAGGGAGAATGGATAAAATTTAACTTTTTTGTATAACGTACATATGCCGATAGATAAAAGTACTCCATTAATTTTGCTAATTTTTTAGCTAACATTATTGAATTAAATGAACCTGATCCCTATGCTTAATTACCTCAATGGTGCCTCCCACCGGATTGGTCTTAAGATGAACACGGTCAAAACTATATATAACGTCCATATCACACCTATGCCGGTAGTTGTTGGGAGCACTAAGCTCGAAGTTGTTGATGAGTAAGTTTACCTGGGACAAATAGTCCGACTAGGTAAGTCCAACTTCAACCGAGAGGTCAATCGACGGATTCAACTCGGCTGGGCAGCGTTCGGGAAACTACGACACATCTTCTCGTCAGACATACCTCAAAACCTTAAAACGAAATTGTACAACCTGTTCATGTTGCCAGTGATGACTTACGGATCTGAGACGTGGACGTGGCCATATGAGGAAGCTCAAGGTCGTTTAGCGAGCTATGGAGAGGACTATGCTAGGGGTTTCTCTGCGCGATAAACTTAGAAATGAGGATATCTGCAGTAGAACTAGAGTGACCAACATAGCCCAACGGATTATTAAGCTGAAGTGGCAGTGGGCCGGCCATATAGCTTGAAGAACCGACGACCGATGGGGAAGAGAGGTTCTTGAGTGGCAGCCTCGTACCGGTAGGCGAAGTGTAGGGCAAACCCTTCACGAGATGGAGTGATGACCTGGTAAGACATGCAGGAAGTCTATGGATGCAAGTGGCTCAGTACCATGCTTTGTAGCATTCCTTGGGGGAGGCGTATGTCCAGCAGTGGACTTATGGCAGGCTGTAATGATAATGATGATGAATCTAGAAATATATTGACGATCTAAAAATATATCGATATTCAAACCTCTTCGACAATGCCTTACTGCAAGAAAACTTAACCCAAATAAAATTATTTTGTAACTTCAGCATCACGTCCCACGATTCCAATAATTGTTTTGATATTAGATTCATCACGAAAACATGGGGTATATATGGAGTCGTCATTATATAAGTGGTAGAGTTACGCTGCAGCTATATTAGTAATACAGGAATGGGTTGGCTGGACCAGGGAAGGAACACGCTCTCACAGAATACCAACGTAAAATAGCAGCTTTAAACTGCTGTGTTTCGTATGGTGAGTGTAGACAACCGGATACCCTTTTTACTGGAGAAGAGGCATGCCATCTTAGTCCTCACGGGTGACAACCTATCTGTATTTTGATTCACAAACTAGGATAGATGTAGATGTTTATGGGCCACAGCAACCACTTACCATCTGGTGGATTGTGTACTCGTTTGTCACCCTATCCTATAAAAAATGCAATATAATAAGATTGATAAATATAAGAATAATTAATTAACAGACATTAAATAAATATGGGGCCAAGAAGTGGTTATTGACAATAAATTAAATTTTGTTAAAATCTCTAGCTAACATATTGGCGTTATTAAAAGAAAAGCAAAAAAAATACATCTAGAGACAAAAAGCGAAGGTGAATCTTTTTAACACTAGATAGAAGTCACTTAATACGCTAGTTTAACATTGAAGCATATTACGTACGTTGTGCACTACAAACAGATAGAGACGATCCGAGGTTTTTCAATTCCACTTGCTTTCATGTGCTCTACCATTACTTGCATTACTCACAGGAATACTTACAAAAAGCGCTTCACTTTCATTCATGTGGAATCCTTGAGAGAATTGCGAAAAATGCGCAATGTTATATTGTTACATAAAAGTATCAGCCACGTTTTTATTTTATTTTTATATATAGGAGAGGAAATGAAACTGTGAAATGAAATTTTATAGAAGAGGAAAGGGGCAAACGAATTTACGGCTTACCTGACGGTATGGGACTACCGCCGTCCATGGACAACTGCAACACCAGGCGAATTGCAGATGCGTAGCTAAAGGAAACTGCTGCAGTTTCCGTTGTTATTTCTGTTACAAATTTATTTTAAGCGGATATTTAAAATTTTACACGTATTTTCGTGCATGATTGAAGTATCCAATCGCTGAATTCGCGCACACGTCGTTAGTCATCGTCGATATATTTATTAATAGATTACCACGATTACATCACAACTCTCCATATAGGAACACTAGCTAAAATTAATCATGCGTTTTGTTAACATTCCTCGCTTTTGTTTAAGTAAAACAATTGAAAGTTGGCCTTCGCTCTATAAGTTACTGTATCTCTGCTAAAGAGAAGGATTTCAATATTTGATTTTAATATTCTTTTTGGTGGTACAATTATAATTAAAGATCCAGATTAGCATGTACATTGTAAAGCGTTCTAGTAAACTTTCTTCTTTTCCATCAAATTTTTGCCTAATATTCAAATATGAAGATAAAACAGGGTCGGTTGCATGCACAGATGCACACACGCACGCACGCTACCATATTAAAAATTCGTCAATATTTTCATATTTTGAATGTATTATTATACTTCTTCTTTTGAAATTCTTATATATCTTCGAATATATTTTATATATTTTTACGCAAAAATCTCCCCTATGAAACAATCTATGGGTGAGGTCTATGTTCAGCAATGAAATTTGACAAGCTGAAATGATAGTTATGATGAATAAAACAATAAAATAATAATAATTCTAGCGAAATAAGATAAAAACAAAAGAAAAGCGATACAATTCGAAAAATTTGTTACATTCTATCTACTCTAGTATCAGCAGTAGAAGTACTGAAAGCATACCTGCAGTCCATTATGGAGCATATTTGCAATCGTTTCTACATCAAGTGTCGAATCTTGTGCTGAAATCTTCTTGATGGCTGAGGAGACGATGCAAATATCCCCACGTAACTCGCGCACCAATGCCGTTATTTTCTGAGCGTTGCTGAGAATTTCGACGCTTTGAGTGTAGGGATTGTAACGAACTCCAAAAGGACGCTGTATGCTATCAGCGAAGGCTCTGAAAATAATTGATTTGTTTATATTAATGCCATTAATTATATTCTAAAAATAAAATAATATAACAATTTGATATATCTTTATATTTAAAAATTACGTGTCACATTGTTTGTCCGCGATTAATTCCTAAACTACTGAACTGATTTTATGAAATTTTGCACAGTGTGCAGTTTAGTCTGACTTGAGAGAGCATAGTTTTTATCCCAATAAGTGACCTCAATATTTTTTATTGCTAATTCAAGGTTTTTTTTAATATTACAAAGGGTCGTCGGTATGTGCAGAACAACGTTTGCCTGGCCAGCTAGTTTTATTATATTTTATTACATTTATATGAAACATATTACGTAATATTTTTTGTAAAGTAGTTCAACATGTTGTATTTTTTGAAGATCGCAGAGTCCCATAACACTATTTTAAATATGCGTGTGCCAATGCATGTGTACATAATTTTGTACTTTCATGAACTAGGTTACCTAGAGATGAGGTCATGACTCATGACATCTCCAGACCAATTTCATTAGATGCTGAATTGTATTAAGAATTTTTAAATGAATTATCTGTTTAAATTTAAAAAGAACTTAAATAGACGGCAAATAGTAGCCATACTTAATTTTTATATAATCACTTTGGTATAATAAATAAAGAAAGTAATAACAAAAGTAAAAATAAAAATGTTATTATTACTGAAAGCTAAAAATTGAAATCAGTAATCACCGGAGGCATTTATTTTAATTTGAGCTTTAATATTTGATACATGCATAATTTACACGCGGCACACTCATCAGTCATATTAAGAATAACAGTACTTACTTGAATAAATCATAATTAATTATCGCATCTTATTAGAAGTACGTCATTTACCTCATTTTCTCCTTAGCTTCCTCAAATGATTCGGTATAATAATAAGCATTCTGGTAAGATGTGATTATACACTCCTCATTTACAGTAACATCGGGGTCAAAACGTTTAATTTTTTCAGTAGTTGCAAGAGCGTGTTGCAATTCAGCCACAGATGATAGCAAGCCGGCACCATAAACACGAAAACTACCGTCCGGTTGACGACAAAGCCCAAATTCCACAGTGAAGAAATACAACTGAAATATCACATAATTACTGTTAACTAAGTAAATTGAAAATGAAATATATTTTAGAGTACATAACAACGCAATTTAATCGGTAATAAATAGATCGAACTTTCTTTTGCTTTTTGTTATTTTTTACTGATTTAGTGGTCGCAAATAAGTATACTGATTATGTGGTTCTGAGTACGAATCCCGAAATCAGTTATTGAGTTTTTTCTTTCAAGTGATTCTCATTGCAAGTGAAGCAAAACACTGCGGTTGCCAACTCGCCCGCCAAGCGTGATATTTTTGTCATATATGAAGTGTGTCATATGTGAATGCCTTCTATGAAGCAAACTATGAGTTAGGCCTATATTTAGCAGTAGACTTTTGATAGGTTGAAAGGTTTCTATTTAATATAAAAATATTTTTTTTTATTTTAATTTACCCAAATTTTCTTTTTTATCTTAAGGATAAATTTCAGTATCTGTATTTTACTCATGATAGAGTTCCCCGTTCCTAAATTACATACATACATAAACACTCACGCCTGTCACCCAGAGGGGTAGGCAGAGACTACGGACTTCCATTTGGCGCGATCCTGACACACCTCTCTCGCCTCTTTTACATCCATATATCTACGCATACACGCTCGTCGGTTAAGGGTACTCCTAATCTGGCCCATTTTTAATGTATCGCCGATTTGGTCGATAAACTTACGTCTAGGGCTAAATAATAATAGTCTTAAAATTCATTGCTGTCCGTACTGCTCTAGAATGTTCTGCCTATTGATATTAAGGAAACTAGTAACAAACATTATTGTAAGAGACTAATCAGAGAATTCTATAACAAGAATAATACCACCTGATTTATTCGACTTTTCTACCGACTTCAAAAGGAGCCGGTACTCAATTCGACTGTATGTTTTTATTTATGTGTTAATACCTAATAACTTTTACTGTGTGAACCGATTTCGATGTTTCTTTTTTTATTTGATAGCTGGTGCTTTTGTTTAATTTGATCAAGGTCTGGCCAATAGTTATTAGCCAATAATTTATATCGAAACCGTTTGTACAAAAATTTTAATTTGAAATTATGTTTTTCTCTCCTTCGCTTTGTAAGTGATATTTTGTATAATATGTATTTCAATATGTCTCATGTTATTTTATTTTTATATTATATTATTTTATTTATTTAAATATTTTGTACATAACTACCTGCTTATATATTTATTATTTATTTTTTATTATTAAGTAGATATTTAGTGTGCATATTTTTAAATACATTTTATTTATTTGCATTTTGTTGTAAGATGTAATCTTTATTACTTATTTATTAATTTATGAAGTTGTTTTTTACACCTGCCACATCTCAAATTATACAGGATTGACTGTTAGAGAATGCCATAATACATTATGTCCGCCCTTCATATACCTTATTATAAGTTAGTATGTAAAAAGATTAAATAAATAAATAAAAGTACATAGCAGCTTGTATTTTTTTGTTTAGCCAATATTTTATTTACAATTTAAATAACTATATAAAGAACGTTATTTAAAGTAAAGACAGACCGTACACACATTCGGATATCAATCAATGTTTTAATAGCTGTGCTTGACCGTCTTGATAGATCGTATAAACACCACGTACGTTCATCAAAAACAGTTTATACTTCACCAGTTGTTTCTCAATGTTCAAGATAGAAATGTATAACCTTGAATTGATGTTCAGCATAGTTTATGATTCAATTTACAGTTATGCAAGATTTTTATTGAATAAATATCTATGAGTAAAAATTATAAAAATATATCTAGTTAATATTTTGCTTTCGTGGCTGTGGGGCCTAATAAAAGGTGACAGTGAAAAAATCCGAATAAGGCATTATTAGTTGTTCAGTTTATCTCCTTAATTTTATTATATTTAAGAACTAGGTTAAAATAATTATTGGAGGTAAATAGTTATACATCTCAAAATAATATGTCTGCAAGCTATTACAACTTAAGACAATACATTGCATCCACATCGTAATGTTCTATGGTAGCCAAATAATAAGGAATGAGAGATAAATAAAAAATAAATATTAAAAAATTCAAAAACCCGTCTGCAAAAAAAACAATTAAAAAGAAAGGCACTATGTGTCTTTTTTGCAGTCGAGATTTATTTTTTTAAATTATTTATTTTATTTTAGGCTTTTTAGTGTCCCAACACACTCCCATGAACTAAATTTTATATGATAGCACGAGGTCCAACACGAAAATGGCCAATTTTTACGCTATCAGAAACTATTTAAACCAATTTATTATTCCTAATTAAATTTAAACATAAAACTTACATATACTTTATTAATTCCCTTTAAATTTCCTTTAGTTTGATACCCTACTTGATTTTGTGGTTTGGTTATTTTTTAAAATTAATTTTTTTTTTCAAAAAGCTATGTAAGTACACTTGGGTTTTTAAGACAAATATAACCTTAACTGTCGGATTCCATCCAGCCGTTTATAAGATACGAGATAATAAAGAAATTTACAAACATGCAAGACACACGCGAAAAACATAACCCTTCCTAAATAAACCTGTAAAAAAAAGAGTCAATAAGCAAAGTTACTACGCTGTTGTCACAAGTATAAAGGGCAAAAATTGTAAGTTATTTCCATAAGAATTTTATATCACATTCATTTATATTAAGACGGGTTATCGTGAAATAAAAGCTATCTACAAAATAAATTATAACTTGCCTAAATATAAAACTGAATTACTTTATTCATACATTTTTTTTTATGTCAACCTATATCTGATGATTAAAAATTTGACCTAAGGGTCTTAGCCAACTAATATTGGAAACACTTTAAATATTTGCAGTTTTATAATTGACTAGCGACCCGCCTTGGCTTAACCTGGATTTATTAATACGGTGTTATCTGAGGCAGCAAGGGGAGTGCCTTGAAACTGAGGAGATAAGACTAAGGGGTTTTTTTAGTGGTAAACGTGCAAACTGTCTTCTGAGGATTGAACTGGACTTGATTTAGTCGCCCCCAATCCGAGGCTTTACTCAGAAAAGACTCGACTTCAGACACAAGTTTTTCCTGGTACTCGGCGACGTTTTCCCGATAAATATTGGTACGTCCGGTGTATAAGGCATCACCAGTGCTTTCGTCTGCATAGCAATGAATGTTACCAGTTTGCAACATATAATTGATATGCAAAAGAAACTGCGTTGGTGATAGCACGCAGCCTTGTGAAACACCAGCATTAATAGGCTTGTAATCAGAGCATTCACCGTCTACTACGACTTTGATGCTCCGATCAGCAAGGAAACTGGTGATCCAATTGCACAATTTCTCGGGAAACCTATAGTAAGGGAGCTTCGGAAGAAGGCTATGTGCCAGATCTGATCGAAGGCCTTCGTTATGTCCAAATTAACGGCCAATGCCTCCCCCTTGGACTATACTGCCTCCACCCATCTATGAGTCAAGTAGATCAGAAGGTCACTAGCTGAACGACCCCGATGAAAACCGTTTTATCGGTCACTAATCAGCTGGTTATCTTCAAGGTACCTCATGAGCTGGCAGTTTATAATGGTTCTTTTTAAGAGCGCTGGAGTTTACATCCTGAGACGTTGATACACCAGCTCAGGCCCGGTAGCGCTCCTGCTTATAGCTTGGTGCTATTTTACAGCAGCGACCAAACCATCGCTGGGATCTGCCTCCAATGGGCACCACAGAGGATGGAATAAAAAGTTCTATACCCTGAAGTACCACAATCGGCGACAGAAATAACAACAACGTTGGGATCGTCCGGCGAGAAGCAAACTCGCTCCCAACCGTAGGATGTAATGATAGATAGCATCCTATCCCAATCGGCCGACCTATAATGCCAAACACAGCAGCAGCCTGAAGAGTGCAACCGCGATTTCAGCGTGAGTGGCACCACACTCTGGGCTAGACAATGGTCCGTGAGCCAAGAGGGGTATTGACGAAAACCCGATATTCATCCGGATGTGAGGTCAGCTGTAGGTTTAACAGGGAAGGTTCATGATCCTCCACATCTGGAATCCGCGTAGGTGAAGTAACTAGCTGTGTAAGACCATATGCCAATGCTTAATCACGAACAGATCTCCCTTGATGATTGGTTAAACGTGAACCGAGCCGTTTGGCGTGATGGGCGTTAAAATCGCCAAGGATCACGATCTGCTGTAACAAGGAATCTGTAGCCATTTGGACGTCGTCAATGAGTCGGCTTGTTTCAGAATTACCGCTATGGGACCTATAGAGGCACCCGTAGACGCATTGATGGTCGTTGCTGTCTATGCGCAGCCATAGGATGGACAGGTGTAAACCTTCAAGACTGCCGAGGCGTCGCAAACAGATATCCTCTCTGAGTTATACGCAAACTCTAGATCGAACCATAAAGGAATGTTGTAAATTATTCCCCGGGTAGGAGAGATATGAATTACAATTGGGCCTCTAGCCAACAGCACTTACCAAGCGAAACGTAGAGGCAAACCTCAACTTCACGCTGGTATTCTGTGAGGTCGTGGTACCACCCTGGTTCAAGCCGGTCTATCCGTGCGATACCAAAAGCTGCCGCGTGGCTCTACTACTGTTGTACGGATAAAGGCGATGGAATTTTGAAACGTGGAGTAAGGTCGGCATATTAGTAGTTAAGACATAGTCGAGGAATTGAGGATTGACGACAATATGTAGGTTGTGTTACGTAAGCATTAGGGGTTGTGTCACGTAAACATTAGGCTCCGTATTAATTTCGTTTTAAAAATAGTTAATCATAAAGTTTGATTATAAAAACTGTACATTCGATGAAGTTTAAGTTCAATACCTATGAAAAAGCGTTATTTTATAGTGAAGTGAGCTAAAAACGTCATTATAGCTGATACAAAAGTAATATTTTTTCTTGTCGATAAAAACTGTGTACATCTGTATAAACAATTGAAACCCGTGGGAAAAGGTAAAGTTATCAGTGAAAACAGAACTGTGTAAAATATTAGTGCCTAAAATGCTTTCAAATGAACCTACTTA